GGAGCGATTGAGAATGGCAATGAAAATTTAACAGCAAAAGAAGGCATTCATTATTTAATCTTTAAATAATTAACAATTTATGTATGAAGTCATATACAGGTTCTTTAACAATATATTTATTTATAACACAATAATAGCTGATATTGAAGTTGAAGAAATTGATATTGGTGAAAATGAACTTGAGATTTTAGAAAGCGATTCAGACGATGATGACGATGGTGATGATGATGAATTTCAAGATTTTCAAAATGGTATATTATATTAAAATAAATAAAAATTATAGAGAAAAGGAGATTTGTTTTACTAACACCATTTAATGTATAATTTCTTATTTAGATCCACTTCATATACTTCCATTATATTCTTTGCTTTCTTCAAAAGCTCAATTACGTGTATTTGAGCCACCACCAGAAGGAACACGGCTTTGTGTTGTTGCAACAAATGTAGCTGAAACTTCATTAACAATTCCTGGAATAAAATATGTTGTAGATTGTGGTAAAGTTAAACAACGTAAATATGATGCTATCACAGGTGTACAATCATTCACAATAGATTGGACTTCAAAAGCATCGGCAGATCAACGTGCAGGCCGCGCAGGTAGAACAGGGCCTGGTCATTGTTATCGTCTTTATTCTTCGGCTGTTTACAATGATCAATTTCAAGAATTTACACCAGCAGAAATTCATCGTATGCCTATTGAAGGTGTCGTACTTCAAATGAAATCTATGAATCTTGATAATATAGTCAACTTTCCATTTCCTACACCACCTAATCGTGATCAATTGCTCAAGGCTGAGAATCTATTAAAGCATATGAATGCATTGGATGATAATACTGGCCAAATTACTGAATTAGGTCGTGTTATGGCAACATTTCCTATCGCCCCCAGATTTTCCAAAATGTTGATAATTGGACAACAACATGGATGTCTTCCGTACATAATTGCAATAGTTGCTGCTCTTTCTGTTGGTGATCCATTTATCAAGGATTATCAAATAGATGACAATGATATAGAAAATGAGAGCGAGAGCGAGGAAGAAGATATTACCGAGAAGCAGGAGTTAAACGAGATTCAAAAAGAATCTATGTTCAAAAAAGAGCGTCGAAAATTAATGAAGAAAAGATTTTATGAAATGCAAAGGGTATTTGTAAAAAAATAAATCATAACGCTACTTACTATATTAGTTTTTAGATACGTTAACATTCACGTTGACGTCAACTTTAACAATATTATTATTTGTATATATAGAAACATGCAGGGCTGGATCCTAACAGTGATATCCTAAAAATTTTGAATGTTGTTGGTGCTTATGAATATGAAGGATGTACTGAAAAATTTTGTAATCAAAATTTCGTTCGCATAAAGGTAATTAATTTTTCAAATTCTATTTCCTCGCATTTTAGTTTTTGATTATTAATAAAAAAAATCTTGTATGATTGTTTTTATTTATAGGCTATGCAAGAAATACACAAATTAAGGGGACAAATTACAAATTTAGTTCAAACTAATTTTCCAG